ATTATGATCAGGATCTTGCATATTGTTAGATATGCTTCACTTCTAACAAGTTTTATAATGTTTATAAAACTGCCATATAGAAATTCACAGCTCTTGTTTTATTTTTGGTTTGATTGCACATTTCCCCTTCAATACATTAAGAAAAATACTAAGACTTTTGTATAACCTGGTAAAAGGACCTCACAGGGAGGCTCAAAACCCTAGCAAGCATCAACTCTCTCTCTCTCTCTCTTCTCTTTATTGTTTATGCTAGAAGACAGGTGAGGGATTTCTCTTCTAGACATACCTTACATCTTTTATGTGCTGAAACACAAGGAGGGCATCTCTGCTTTACTGTTTATGGGAGTCAAGCAAGCTTTTAGGGTGTTCTTGAAAAAAAAGTGAAAAAGACAGATTAAAAGCAAGCTATAGAAAAACTAGACTTCTTTCCTCCCTAACAGACACTCTCTGGTCACTGCTGTGTATATATGAGGTCAGTGAGTGGCTGCTAGTGTGATCATATACAGCTACAACACAATATATTTTAAAGCAGTACAAAATCTGCAACAAGCATATAAATGTAGAGAAGGAGACTGTTAGTCTCAGTATAAGTGCTCAGTTCCTTTTGATTGGTCGATCATCAGTGATCTCCTTCGTCCTAGCTGCTGCTAATTAACCAGCTTTTCCTTTTCCTTTCTCTCTTTCTTGTTTTTTCATTTAGGGCAAAAACTCTCCTTTTCCAGTAATTATCACTTTGCTTTTCGTTAGTTTCTTTTTATCCCCTACTTCGCTATATTCCTCTTTAATTTGTTTTGATGCTGCACATTTGTAATTTGTGCTTAAAAAAAAAAACACTTGTAAGTTGCAGATTACTAATGCTTCTATTATTTTATTTTTATTTTTTAAAAAGTAATTTGATGGTTTTAGTCATATGGATCCATGCACCATGAATCCTGTGGGAAAAAGGAGGTTAAACAATAAATATTATGCTGTATAACATGCAATAAATTGAAAATAAAAATAAAAAAACAATTTTTACATTTAATTAACAAAAGAGTTTATATATATATATATATATAAACAGCTGAAAACATAACCCACAAGCTACATGAGTCCCTCATGAATTAAAAAACTTCATACTTTTAGTATGTTTGATATTGTAATAATGGTGGTGGTTTAAAATAATTTTTATTTGTTTTTTTAGTTTTTATAAAATATTTTTAAGATCGACATATTAAAAAATGATTGAAAAAATTAATTTAAAATTAAAAAAAATATAATTTTAACAGCTTTAGCTAACCCTAAATTTTAATTTTTGATTCCAGCCCACGTGATTCTAATCATGCCTGATAACCACTCTGGCACGTCCGCCACTTTGTTGCTGATAAAAACCTATTATAAATGTATATTTTTAGCCACAAATAAAAGGGAATTTCCAAGGCATTGTAATATTTAACATCTTATCACTTATTAATTTATATCTTCCATTGATTTTTCATTTATAAAAAACAAGAAAAACACTTTCAATTGCTGATTCTTCATTAAAGATGGCAATGAAAATCCCAACTATTATGAGCATTGCTTAAAATAATTCACTTTTTATCCTTTTCTTTTAATTGATAGCTTAATTTAAATTACAATTTCACTACAGACTTAATGTAAAACATTGAAGGTTATATAGATAGAACCTTGACACAATAAAAACTTTAAAAATTAGTGCTCTATTCTTTCTTCTTGCATAACCTTCAATTCCATTTGTAAAATTGCATGGACCAAGCTTTCATGTTCTTACAACATCGTAAGTTTACATGAAACACAACTTAGCTTTAAAAAAGTTTGAGGCCCCCTCAAGAGATAACATATCATCGTCATTATTAATGTAGTAAGAAAAACTTTAGATAGAATTTAAGCTTTTCATGATTATGTTCAAAGTTAGTGATTTATGTACTTGAATTTAGGTTTTGTTTTTGGCCTAGTTGTTTCAAGGGCTCTTGTTTTGTATTAGGTAGCTGAGTGTATTTATATATCATTAAATTTACATAATTGAGAAAAAAAACTAGCATGCCCATAGGTTGTGAAGTTGTGGCTTAACATTAGTTATATAGTTGGTGATCAATTTAAAAAATAAATAGTGTTTATAAATATTAAGAGTCTGTTTGGTGTTGTGGTAGTTTTTGTGGTTGTAATTTAAAAAAAATTATTTTATAAAAAATATTTTTGGTTGAGGTTGATTTGATATTTATATATATTTGGTTAAAATTATGGTTGAAATTGAGGTTGGACAAAAAATAATTTAATGTGTTTGGTTAAGAATGCTTTTGAAATTGAAGTTATAAAATAATTTTAAAAAATATATATATTAATATTGATGGTTTTTAATTTAAATATTATAGATTTAACTATTGCTATTACATCATGAAATAAATAATATTTTATATAAAATATTTCTTATTGTTCCATTAAACTATCTACAATTCTATCATGTATAAAATACATCTGACAAAGATTACAATTTTCTTGATTTCTTAAACGTGCAACAACATCAGTTAAAATATAATCAGGAATAAAATTGGGATTGCAATCAAATTTTATAAATGTTATGTCATCAAGTGATCACTAATTAATTTATGTAGTGTCATTGAATAATATTAAATACTAGTTTTTCGAATAAAATACAATTAAAAAATAAAAAAATATTTTTTTTATTTTACTGGGTCTTTCTTGATTCAATACATTTTAAATTTTGAACCGAACTCGGTTTGATTGGAACATGAACAGAGAAAACATGCTTAACTGTTCATTGAACAATATAGTATAGCTATACTGTTTAGTGAACTTTATCTACACAAGAAACATCAAGGAGCTGCTTTCCTTCAAACACAAATTACCATGAGATGCATAAATAATAAACTATGTATTTTTTTTGCAAACCAGTGCTTGGTCTAGTGGTTTATCTGCACCTGGGTTCGAGCCCTGGCGTGCACGCTTGTCACCCTCACGGTACTTTACATGCCTACTGGGTTTGCAGGATATTCAGTGGGCCGTGAGGATTAGTCGTGGTGCGCGCAAGCTGGCCCGGACACCCCATGTATTTACTTGATTCAATACATTTTAAGTTTTGAACCGGACTTGGTTCGATTAGAACATGAACAGCGGAAACATACTCAACTATTCATTAAACAGTATAGTATAGCTATACTGTCTAGTGAACTTTATCTGCACAGTAAGCATCAAGTAGCTGCTTTCCTTCAAACACAAATTACCATGAGATGCATAAATAATAAACTATATATTTTCATTAACAGATATGTTGTGTTTGCATTTTAAGTAAAATATATATGCAATCTCTTGAACAAACGCTATCTTAACGTGGTATTTTATGTGCAGGCCTTGAAACCAAAAATACTACTGAAATGTGTGACGTGGTTGTTATTGGTGGAGATGTGACAATATTTATTTTAAAAATTGAGTTACAATTAATTGTTGTGCTTAGTAGAGGTGATAATGATGAACAAGCGCCATTAACAAAGAAAATAGAACATCCTCTACATAGGAAAAGTTGTGAGTGAACTTAAAAAATTGTGTGCTTGAGAAGTCCGTGGGCATAACTACCAGGCCCTAAAAGAAATGCATAGAAGGAGGTGCTCAGATAATACTTTGATAGTTTGGAACCTAAAATACGTGATTTCTAGCTGTTCAAGGCCAAATGAATGTTTGGACTGTTGGAGTGTACAATGTATGTGACAACTCTATGTTTTTTTCTAATAAAAAAATAAAAAAAATATTTTTATTAATAATAAATATATTTTACAAAAATAAAATTAATATTTTATATAAGAAAATAATTAGCTACAAGACATATGCAATAACAAATTAAAAATCTATATATTCATGCCAGTACAAAAATTCTACGCTTCTAATTTTATACATCATAATCCACTTTATTTATAGAATTATTATCCTCATCTAAAAGAATATACTCTCCCATAACTCCCACTCCCACCGCCTCCCCGACTTATTATTCTTACATGTTGAGTAATGTAATTATAATTATTTTTTAAAATATTTTTTATATTAAAATATATTAAAATAATATTTTTTTTAATTTTTTTAAAATTATTTTTAAAATCATCACATTATAATAATATAAAATATATAAAAAAATTAATTTTTAGTAAATTTTTTTAAACTTTTTAAAAACACATGTGCAACCACATTTTTAACTTTTTAAAAACACATGTGCAACCACATTTCCTTACGATATTGAAGCCATCCTTGATCCCTCTATGATTTCTTTTCCATGAAAGCATTATATATTATAATTTCTAATATAACGGAAAAAATGACAAACTGTAAAACACAAATTCAACCTTTTTTTTTTCATCATCACTTGTTCATATATGAAACACTTAGGCTACGTTTTTTCACATGGAACATCTTTTTCATAAACTATTTTTTTTTTCATTTTTTATATTTGGTTTACTTTAAAAATTTATCAATATAATATATTTTAACATCAAAAGAAAGAATAAGATTAAAAAAGTAAAAAAAAAATTACAACTCAAAGATAAAAATATTTTACACGACTAAATTTATTAATTAATCATGCTTTCTATTATCAATTAACTCTTATGGTTTCCCTTTCAGCACATATTTTCCATATTTATTAAATATCAAACAATTAAGTTTAATAATTTTTCAAATAAAATGACTAAAAAATGGAGAATAAAACATATTATAAAAAGATAATTTTCTTTTTTTATATAAAACATTTGTAAAACAAATTATTTTACATGAAATCTAGTTTTCCCTACAATGGAAAAAGAGATCAAGGCCTAGTGGATAGATAAACTGATGGTGTAATAATATCCAGATGGGATGGGCTTTCCTTTATTTCCAACCCAGCCCATACCGGCCCATCCCAACCGACATGCCTTTATTCCTAAAATCTTTTTCCATTGCCAAACACTTTGTGTCCCTACCATTTCTTTGCTGTCCCCACCGCCCTCTACCCGCTTCCTTCCTAGACCCTCGACCTTGTCACCCTCTCCCTTAACCAAAACACAAGACAAAGACAAAACCAAAAACAAAGTCCCATTTCTCTCTCTAAGGAATCAGAAACTTGTTATAAAGCAAACGAAGAAAACATCTAAACCTTAAAATAAAAACACATCAAACCTTATCAGAAGCGATGAATCCTCAACAGCAACAACAAAATCCAGTAGATCCAGACCACCCACAACTCCCAACAATCAAGATCCACCACCCTTCTTCCCCACGCCACTCCCACCACCACCCCCACCTACACGCCGCCACCCCCACCGCTGGTGCCCGCCGCAAGATCGGCGTCGCCGTTGACCTCTCCGATGAATCTGCCTACGCTGTCAGCTGGGCTGTCGACCACTACATCCGTCCCGGGGATGCTGTCATTCTCCTCCACGTCAGCCCTACATCCGTTCTATTCGGTGCTGACTGGGGCCCGCTCCCTCTCTCCACTCCGACGCAATCGCAACTCGATCTTCTGAACAATACTAGCAAATTTAATAATGAAATTGACAGTAAAAATGACAGTAGTGAGAAGCCGCAGCAACAGAACGAGGACGATGAGGATGCTTTCACTGCGTCGAAAGCGGCCGATCTTGCAAGGCCTTTAAAGGAAGCGCAGATCCCGTATAAGATTCATATTGTGAAAGATCATGATATGAAGGAGAGGCTGTGTCTTGAAGTTGAGAGGTTAGGGTTGAGCGCGGTTATTATGGGGAGTAGAGGGTTTGGTGCGGAGAAAAGAGGGAGTGATGAGAGATTGGGAAGTGTAAGTGATTATTGTGTTCATCACTGTGTATGTCCAGTCGTGGTTGTTAGATATCCTGAGGATAAGGATGGCGGTGTGGCTGATCTGGAGGCGGTTGTTAATGTGCCAGAGGACGTGGAGGCTGCAGAGGGAAAACCTAAAGGTTGGGATTTGTTATGTGGTTGTGGATTTTGTGATTGCTGATTTTGATTTTTTTTGGTTTATGATGTTACAAGTTTGTTACTGTATGCAAATGCTGGTGATGTATATGAAGATTAGGTTGTGGAGCAATTTTCTTAATGTGATATTGTTAGCTGTCCTCCAAAGGACAACGTGGAGATAATTATGCACATGATTAGGATGCGTTATCTAATTGAAATGTTCTGGATTGTATCATCATTTTATAGCTAAGATCGATGTACTAGAAATGTTGCATTATGTTTTGGGTCAGAGTTCATTTTTTGAGAGATCAAAGTTGCATATAAATAGTACAGAATGGAGTAATTTTGATTTAGGATGTTGATGTTCTCGTGGGTAACTTGTATCCTGGAATCGTTGAGTTTTGTAGTGTTCTTGAAATATTGCAATGATGAGGTGTTAAATAGTTGGGTTGTTTTATGAAATCTGGAGCACGAAATTTGAATGATGCAGGATCTTTTGATGTTATAAAATGTAATGGGTACTGGCCTTTTTCACTACTATAGAAAGCGGATTCTGCTTATTTGGCTTCATTGTGGTATTCTCATGCTAATCTACATTGAGTAGTGGGAAAATTCTTACTTCAAATAGCTGATTTGATTGTTGTTTGTGTTTTGTTATTTTGTTATATGGTTGCCGTTGCTGGTATTGATTATGCATGATTGGATTTTTTTTCTTCTTAATATTATTATGAGATCATTGGCACAGATTATGGTTCATGTGAATAGGACACATCATCCTAAATTTTGCATCATCAGCTGAGTGAATTAGTCAAACATGGTTAAATTTACATGTAAGAGCATATATGGCAATAGAAATTTCAGAACTACAATTATTTTCTTGTTTTCTTTAGTGGTTGATGTTGTGCATAAATAGCACAAAATATATTACTTGTGAATTTGTGAGATTCGTCTTCTCATGGGCGACATGATATTTTACATGGCTGGATATTTGAGAATTGTTGCAATATTGCCTTGAAGATGTATTAAATAGTTGAAATGCTTTCTGAATTATAAGCATGACTTTGGACCTTTTGGTACCTGTAAAATTTGGTTAAAGATGTGGTTGATTTGAGCTAGAGATATATATGTCTTATCAGATGAAATGTGTAGCAGGCGAGAGTGTGTTGCAATTGGGAGTCATTTCATTTTGTATTTCCACTGAGCTAGATGGTGCTTTGATATTATTGCTCTGTAGAGATTAAATATCAGCAAGCTTTTGATGGCAACTGATAAGGCTTATTGATAACAATTAATATAATGCTTGGTGAAGCACCACTGTATCTCATTAATGCAATATGATGAAAGGTTTTTTGGGCTTTGGATTGATGGCGATTTGATATTGTTGCTCTGTAGAGAAAAAAAATTGCAGCAAGGTATTGATGGCAATTGATAAGGCTTATCAATGACAATTAATCAGATTTATTTATTAGTCTTTATCATCCGTTTTAAGTTTTTCTTGAGAGAATGTTGTTGTGACTATGCTTAGGCTTTTGTTGGCCTTGCATAGCTTTTGCATGACCACGAAGTCCATGTATAATGCTCGCTGTTGCATGAACATGACAATTTGTAAATTGACTGTATAGGAGACTGTTTTGTTCTCCTTGCTGCTTCTATCTAATGATTCTCCCTTGGCCAAGGGAGGTTATAGTCTAGCTGCTCAATGGTGGTTGGAATAAGATCCATTGCTGTGATTTGCAACTCTTTATTTACATGTACAGAGTAGGTATTTCAACACTCATCTGTTGGCACAATTGAGAAATTCTTTGTTTCATAGTGTCATATTTAAAATAGCTGAAAGAAGAGAGGTAAATTGTATTTGGATCATTGTCTTTACATTCATTTTAGATTGGATGTAACATAAAGACATTTAATCTGTTTGTTAAGATTCTGTGCTGCTGTTATATCATATTGTTCTTTTAATGAAACTTCAGTAACTTTATCGTAATTGTTGGTTGCAAATCCTTTAGCTGAGTGATTGTGTTAGCTGTGCTGTTTCTGTTCAAGAAGTGATTTCTTTGGACGGGATGCTGATGGTTGAATTGCTGTTATTGCTATGATCACTTGGTTGAGTTTGTTTCATAAATGTTTTGGATTTTTAATATTGCTTTTCAATACAGAAACATTTTAAATGATTTACTGTTGGTTGCTTGTGCCTGACAGATGCCTAGTTTGAACTACCTTATTGCGACTAGTTCATCTACATAGCAGGTATGCAGTTTAGGCTGGAATCATGTCTTTTTTTTTGTATTTTTATTTTGCATGTATCTATTATGCAGTCTTGTCTCCTCTTGCCCTTCCTTCCACACACACACCCCCCCCCCCCCCCCCCAGCCGCTAGCAACACTCAAAACTATGTATCCTTGTTTCAATTTATCCTCTCTGTTTTTAATATTCTTCGTGTTTTGACTTAGATACATATTTTTTTTCTTATCTCAAGGGTATTGCCTATTTGTTTATTTATAATTTATCATTG